TCTCAACAACAGATGGAGTCACAGCACCGAAAACGGTGGCGTTGAAGCTGCCTCGTCGAGAGCTTTCCGAAAATGTGTTGTTTCATTTATGCATCCTCTTCGTCGTGGCGTAATCGAGCTTTGAATATTGGTCCAGGGGGTGTGTTATCTTGTGTCATATGCCGTAACCCTAACCCTCAAAGACACCCCCCGAACCAACGCCACCCCGTACCCCCTACCAAAACCAACCTTAATGCACATCTTCGCGAAGGCTTACTGCTGCTGTCTTTTCCATCACCTTGGCCACAGCGTCGCTGTCCTTGATGCTCAACGTGGGCTCCGGGTAGAAATACTCGATGTAGTCGACGATGTTGGCCGACTCCGTGTAGGCCTCCTTGCTGTCCACGAGGCACGGCATCTGGCCCTCGTAGTCCTCCACAAGCCAGTCCGGCTTTACAACCAAAAACACACAAGGGTGCACACATCAAGATGGATGACAAACAAAAAAACGAATGCGAAATCGATGCAAGATGATATAATGATGAATGAGACAAGGGAAGCAATTGTACAAACCAGGGGCATCTGGCCCTCGTATTCCTCCACAAGCCAGTCCGGCTTTACAAACAAAAACACACAAGGGTGCACACGCGAAAGAGAAATTGGTACACGATGATGACAACTGAGATAGGAGTGCTTGGTACCTAGGGCATCTGGCCTCCGTAGTCATCCACAAGCCAATCCGGCTGACAAAAAAACACGGGGGTTCACGAAACAAGATGATAATGAAACGAATGAGAAGCTTGCGTTGTTTTATAATCCTGTTCTATTGGGCGTTTGGCCCTCGTGGTCCTCCACACGCCGATCCAGCTTGAAAAAAAGCAAGGCTCACACAAAACTGACGAGATAAGGAGGAAGCATTTCAAACAAGAAAGCACTGATAGTAGCTAGGAAGAGGGGGGCATGGGATGCCAGACGCGCACAAAAGGCAAGTGGACAGATTCACACAAACAGAAAAGGTGTGAGCGTTCGGGTTTTCAGGATCTTGAGGTCGTGCTTGACGCTCCGACCGTCCGACCGCCGGGAAAACCTCAAAGTACTCCAGCGGGGAAACAAGAACAAAGAAACAAATCGAGATCCGGTCCGCCGGTGAGATGCCTCTTGTGCCACGGACACAACAACACGTCTCTGTGGTCTTTCCAGTGCTGCACGCTTGTGTTCTTGCCGCCGATCGATTCACGCCTCCAACAGTTCCTTACCTTGGCGTCTGGCGCCACGGGTGTGAGCTTGAACGGCAACCCCTTGTACTGGAGAACCATCTGGAGATCCACAAGAAAGGGCGCGCGTTGTCGGGGGGGGGGGGGGGGGGGG